TCTTTATTTTTTTTTCCTCCGGCCACAGTTGGTTGCCCGTTACCATGTGAATGTGCAGCTGCTGGGACAATGACCCTACCTGCATCCGCTGGAGCTTCCTGGGGAACCAGGCGCTGGGCTCCCCAATCACTACGAGGCTTGTTATTCTGCTCCTGTGTGTGGGTCTGGGCCTTTGTAATGTGGACCTGCTGTCCACAAGGTAACAAACCAAGGCCATCACAAATGCACACTAGGGCTTGCAAATTAAAATTTAATTCTGGTCTTAGACATGGAAAAGTTATTTTTAAATCTAAGCATTCCATGCTGCACAACAAACACCAGGGGCAAGCTTTTCCTCTACCTTTGCGATTAAATATGTGTGGCCAAGGTTTAAAGGGGGCAAGGTCTAGAAGATCAAATCTGTGGAATTTTCAGTCAGATGAATTTTATCACTTACTGTGTCAAACGCAAAAAAAGTGCACAGAGGAAAGAGTAGGTACATTAATAACAGGCATCCTTGTAGTTTCAAACACTGATTTAGGAATGACCCCAGGTGGTGGGAAGCCACTGCCCACAGCTCTGGCCCCCAACAGTGTCCCTGCCACACACCTCCAGCATTGACATTCCTCCATTATCCTCTTCTTCCTTCTCTGGGAGCTTTCCTGCAAAATCATACCTGCCTCTCCCTACGCCCAGCTCGGGTGGAGCCTAAAATCATGGAGACGTTGCTCCAGGGGTAATAAGCCTGCAAGAATTGTCCCCATCTGCCCATAGAGAAAAGGGAAGTTCTGTTCCTTATGTAATATATTAGGTGAGAAATAGGTTGTAGGGGATTTTATGAGAAGCCTTTTATGAGTTTGTATTCAGAGTTATAAACCAGTCTCCAAACAGTCCTCGTGATGGAAGAGTTTCTCAACCTCAACACTACTGACATTTTGGGCTGGAGGGTTCTTTGTTGAGGGGGGCTGTCTTGTGCTTTGGAGGGTGCTCAGCAGCACCCCTGGCCTCTAGTCACTAGATGCCAGAAGCATTCCTCCTGGAGTTGTGACAACCAAAAATATCTCCAGGCATGATCAAATGTCTTGGAGATGGGAGAATGGGGCGGGGGGGTGTGGGTGGGGGTGGGAGGGATCAACTCCTGTTGAGACATACATAATTGAGAATATTTATGTCAAAGTATTGCCTTTAGAAGATAGCATGCATAAAGAAAAGTTATCCAAGCATTCTAGTTGAAAGGCAGTATGACAGGCAGAATTTTAACAATCTAATTTTTGGTTAGGGAAGAAAAAAATGTACAGAGATTAATCCGTTAACTAGAGGACAATAAGACTTAGAAGACTAGAAGACAGACCTTGGCATCAGAGATCTAAAATAGTCTACTAGCTATGTGATCTTACTTAAAGTTTGTGTCCTTCGGTGTTTTTACCCGTAATGTGAGGATAATTAGTAGTATCTATCTATCCTTGACATGCCTCAGGGCCCTCGCCCATGCTAGTCCCTGTGCCTGGAATGGTGTGACTGACTCCTTCTCATGCTCCAAGTCTCAGTTTAAATAATCCCTCCTCAGAAGGGCCTTTCTGTTTGCTCTACCTACAGCCAAGCTCTCTTGTGATTATCGATCAGGGCACTGCTCGTAGTACTCACCATATTTTATAACTTTTTATGCCTCCCCCTCCCTTACTATTCTATAAAGTTCCATCAGGGCTAGGATCATGTTTGTCTACTCAATACTATGTCCTGAACAACCAGCATGGGGGCTGGCCAATAAATAGATCAGGCTGAACAAATTTTGCTGGAGGAATGGATGAATGAATAAAGGTTTTATGATAATATCATCACCATCACCCTCATCATCATCATCAAGGATTTGTGCTGAGCTGACTTAATGAATTGCCTGTTTTACAAAAATAGTCACTTCATTTTTTTAAATGTCAAGATCAAACTGTCATAATTAGTAATAGCACATAAAACAATTACAATAGAATGTCTGGCTGATTATCAAGCCTAAGATTTCCATGATTGCACAGAGCTGGGCAGCCACATCCTGGGCTATGCATACACCATGTATAGCTGGGAAGATCTCACTCCAGGAGAGGAGGCTCTGGCCGTGACCTCACTGCGTCTTAGGAGCTTCCGGCTCCCATGCTGTGGATGAGCATCACTAGTGCATCTGCTGTGCGGGCCCCTGGGCCAGCCATCTTTACAGTCTCTGGCAGGAGGAACACTGGCTTTGTTGTTGGTTCACTGGCAAAGTAATATTCCTTTCTCAAAATCAAACTATAGTTAAAGTATATTTGCTTTAAAACAAAGGAAATAATTTTAAGGTAATATTCACAGATAGGAGAGCAAGGCAGGAATACAGTTACAATATCCTTGGGACCATGTTGTTAGAATATTTGTGCTAATGAGAAAGTACATTTTTTAACCTATTATTTTCCACACTCTGTTAAGGAGAAAGCGTGTCCAATTGAAAAGAAAGTAACAAGTACTGGAGACAAAAAATTGAAGTTCAAGACAGCCAAAAGATCCTAAGAGCTATTTAATTTTACCCAGCTACTTAAACTATACCCAAGTTTTTGCTGTGATTTTTTTTTTTAAAGATTTTATTTATTTATTTGACAGAGAGAGACACATTGAGAGAGGAGCACAGGCAGGGGGAGTGGAGGGGGGAGAGGCAGGCTTCCCACTGAGCGGGGAGCCCGATGCGGGGCTCGATCCCAGGACCTTGGGACCATGACCTGAGCCGAAGGCAGACGCTCAACGACTGAGCCACCCAGGCGCCCCTGCTGTGATATTTTTTTAAAATATGAATAATAAGAGGAGAGGAGCATTTGTAGACCTGAATTTGAGATTGTAACAGATTCTGCAAGCCGCTGACAAATGAGCTTGATGCTGGTCCCCAAGATAACACACCCAAATGGATCATTAAAAGGATAGTGTGGGAAGAAGGTGGGATCAAGAGGAGCCAGTACGGTTCACACTAACCTCAAACTGAGGATGTGACGGACATTGTGTATCTGGGCTTTGGCAAGGAGGCTCTGAGGAGTCTCATGATTTTTTTTTTTTTTTTAAGATGGAGAAACATGGGTTAACTGATGATTTATTTAAGACAGAGTTCTGTGTGGCTGAAGAATTGCATAGAACATGACTATGTCGGTCTGAAAGCATATTTCTAGTAGCATGCTCAAGAATTTGTCCTTAGCACTGTCCCATGCAACATTTCTAGCACCTTCAATGAAAATCTTCCACAGCAGAGGTTGGCAATCTTTTTTTTCTGAAGAGCCAGATGGGAAATGTTTTAGGCTTTGTGGGTGACATAAAGTCTCCATTGCATCGTGTTCTTTGAAGAGAATACTTTTTAAAAAGGTTACATCTAGTCTTATCCTGAGGGCTGCGCAAAAACAGGTGGCAAGTCACATTTCCCTACGGGCCGTCATTCGCCTGTCCCTGTTCTGTAGCTTATCAGCTTGAGGATGACACAAGAGAGAGTAAACATTGCTTCATAGAATCAGGATCCATAAAGATACCACGAGCCCCATGACACATGAGAATGGAGAGGGACTTGAAACCTAGAGATCATCTAGTCCAAAAAGCTCCTCATCTATTCCTGGGACAAACTGGGATGGCCTTGGAGTCTAGGTTGGCAGAAATATATAAAAATAAATGCATCGTTTTGTGCTTGAAATCCCAAACTCCCAATTACATGAGTACAGGATAGGCATTTATGGCTTGACAGCTGAACCAGTGAAGAATTGCATTTTAGTCAAGTCAACCAAATATGGGTCAAGGGTATGGTGTGATTCCAAATTCCACTACCCAGAATATGATAGCACCACTCAGTTCCTTGCCCTGGAGTGTGACATCAAGAGTCACTGCTAGACTGTGTGAGGAAGGCCGAGGAAATTGGAGGTGTTTAAAGCGGAGGATGCATGTAACAGGATTTTAGAAATTGCAGAGCACAGTAAAGCTCCACAAGCAAGGAATGAGCTGGGTTGTTGTTTGGAAGCCTTGACTGGCTAGCCAGGCCTTAGGAGAGGAAAGAAGTCTTGGAGGCAGCTGCTCACAGTTCATAGAGCTGCTGGGGCATTGGGATGGAATGCACATGTATATATTTCTCCCTTTAGGTCATAAAGCAGGAAAGATTTTGTTTGTAGAAGGCACGATCCATTTTTCTTCATGCAACAATCCAACATCTCAAGAAAAAAGGAAGCTTGGGCAAGACGGCCCTTTCATTATGATCAAACGGTTGTGCTCCCAGATGGCAGTGGGGGACCCCATCCTTACACTGGGCTTATTAACTCTTCCATCGCTCATCTTCCCCGAGTCCAATTGTGCCCTTCCTAGATGTAACACAGACTAAATCCACTCCTTTCTAATATATAAAACTCCTGAAATATTTAAAGATCTATACTCCCTACATCATTGCTGCTGCTGGAAAGAGATCACTAATTCCTTCTACAGTTCATTAAATTTCACATATGCCATAGTTTCCAAACCATTGAGAACAATTTAGAGTTTAAAAAATTCTTTTTATGAGCATGGTTCCATTTGCTCCTTTGGAAACAGGGAAAGTATCATATTCTCTCTGTCTCTCTGTCTGCTCCCTCCCTCCCTCCCTCTCTGGGCAAACCATCTTGAACAAGGTCCAGGAAATTTGCATAACATATCTAAGACAGAGAGCTAGAAAGTGGGAAGCCCAGGATTATACCAAGCCTTTTGAGTTCTAAGCCTGTGCATTTCCTGATACTTTGTGATAGGCCATATAATTAAAAGGGTCTCCGTGTGGCATGGGTTTGCAATACGGTAACAGTATTTTTAGCAGCCGTCCCACAGGGTAAATCTGATTAATTCTCATGAATAGAAATAATATAAAGAATGGGGTGGGGGATACAAAATGACAGATATGGGAATCCTTTCTCTAGTTTGAAACTTTTGGGTTCTTTTACCCTCCATGATTCTATTTCAACCCACCACGAAATCCTTAGAGCCACTCCCTTAGCGGTAATAACATTTCCCAAAGAAACATAACTGCAAAATATCAAGTTTGTACTGTTCTGGGGCCCTTTTTACAGACCTGTATTCGAAGCGGGTATTGTGGGTGAGCAGTTGTCCTTTTTACATGTTTCCATCGTTGAAGTTAAAGTCATAGTAGGAAATTCATTACTACCTGGAACACACAAATTAGAATATGGTATAGAGACAAATTTGCAAATGACAAGAAATGAACATACGGTTACAAAGACATATAAACAAAAGGCACTACTACTCCGATGTAGCTGTGCTCCTGAAATCTTTTTTAGTAAGTTGGTTTGGAACTCTGAACGCAGTTTTGTATATGGAAGCAATTTTATAACTAGAGAATAGGTTCACAAGCCAATCCACTAGAAGCCTTTTATACCTGTATTAATAATAATGTAGACCTTAACCACCACGTGTAACAGTGCTTGGATGGCCAAGTGCATTCAGAGTTCAGACCCGGGATGCCAGGAACACACCTCCCCAAAGCAGTTGGTGTTTCCCGAGCTCCAAGCCACTGGTCAGTCCCTATAGCAAGTGGAGACTTGTAGGTCATGGCAGTTCTAACAGTGAAGTAGGGGGCTCCGGGGAACAGGGTTTAAAATGCAAGAATCTTCTGCCAGATCCTACTCAGGATCTTTCTTTTCTTCCTTAGTTCCCAAAGATCCACCTGCTTGCTAGTGCACCACCTATTTCCCTGGCCAGAATGGACCAGAAGATAGTAACTTTCCTATCTGGGTGAGAAGAACTTAAAACATTTTGTTGTGGTTGTTAGTAACAAATAGAAAGTAAAGACATTTGTACCTCTCAAACCAACATTTCAAACAGAGTCATCAAGGAAAGTCCATAAGACGGGGGACAAGAGCAAGTTCATTTTTATATACAAAGGGTTGAAGAAATATTCAAGTGCAAGTAACCACACCAAGGTTACCCTGATTCTTTGATGAGATGAAGGCAGATGTGGCAAAAGGGACCTAGAGTCAGGACGCGTGATTGGGCGAAGGACCAGGCAACCAGGACCGGGCTGTCTGCAGCACCAGCACTGGAGCTGAGAAAGACCGAGTCCACTCAGGGAAGGGAGGCCACACATTTGCCTCCATCACTCCTTGCCCCCACACTGGGCCAAACTTGGGGGAAAGAGTGGTTACATCATTTGGTGTTGGAGTGGGTTTCTGGTGGTGAGGGAGAGAGAGAGAGAGAGAGATGGGGTTTCTGAGTGTGTCCTGGTGGCCATTCCCTTACTTCATATTTCCTGACTTCATGAGAGGCTCTGAGGACATGGAGTGGAGGCCTTGCAGACCTAACAAATAGGGAATACCAAGGGGCAGAGACGGGATGATACTTGAGGGGAGGAATTGAGCACAGTTAATGTAATATAGTGCATTAGGACAGAGAAGTGAATTTTAGAAAGAAAACAATACAAGGCTTTTTGGAGAAGGATCAACCTAAAGGAGACATGGGATTTACACACAGAAAGATGAGCTGGGTTGGCGGGGGAGGGGAAGAAGGTGGCAATCCCAGGTGCAGTTTGTCTGACAAAAGTCACAGAGGCTAGCAAAGGCACAGACATGGGAGCAGAGTGACCTGAGCTCCCAGCCTGATGTTTTAAACCAAGCATCTCACAGTCAGGGCAGATCCCAGCAAAGTTCTTGAATCAATGAGAGACCCAATCAGAGAGGTGGTTAGAATGAATGAATCGGGCAGGCAGAACAGGCTGAAGGTGGGGAAGCCGCATGGGATGTTCCCACAGTCCTCTGGGAGAGCGGAAACGAGGATGGGAAACTGGAGGGTGGCACTGAGAATGGGGAAGAAGGGACACATATGAGAGACACTGTGACCTCCGCTTGTCAACGGAAACTGCCCTCCAACTCCCTGGGCTTTTCTAAGACATGACTCCCCTCAACATGGTCAAGCGGCGGCTGCTTCCTCTATCAAGCCCAGTTCCACTGGTCCCAGAGGTAGGATCTACATTTTCCTCAATTCCCGATGCCATTTGCAGATTATCCATCCTCCACTCTCATAGGCACCTGTGATGTTCTGTGATTTACCTCTAGAACGCTCAGCCTCCCCTCTGGGCTCCCATCCCTTGGCTTCCTGATGACTACTTCCTACTCCCTGAGCAACTGCGTCCTTCTGTACTCCCTAGACGTCACTTGCTACCTAAGACGTCACTTGCTATCCTCGATAATTTCACTCCACTTTGGGAGTCAATAGCGTTCAATACTTGAAAAAATAAACTTTATGCTATTTATCAATAGACATACTAGATGGCATTACAAATTAAATTAAAAATATTATGAAAGTAGGGGTGCTTTTCCCAGGGCACGATATCACATTCATTCTCAGCCGATGCAACAAAAATTCGCAATCTATGAAGAATCCAAGAGTTTAACTTTGTTAGCTGTTCTCATATACTAGATTTTAATAGTATTTACGAATGCTTTCTCTTATTTAGCAGTTTTTTATATAAATATGCATATTTTTGATAAAGATCTTGACATTCTAGGTCTAATGTTGCCTATTTTGTAAGAAAAAAGAGAGAAGATATTTTTGTATTTCTAAGGAAAATATATTCATAATGACACTAACTTCCTTTTTAAATAACACAAAAGTACTACTAGATTCATAAAACAATAACTATTGTACACATTTGGATTCAGGAATCATGACGCTTCAGCTTCAGACTCACCCTGTATTGAATAACTCAATGTGATCATGCTAGTAAATAATAAATAATTAAAACTTGAAGATTTTTGAGAACAGATAGTTTATGATTCACAGATAATTTGTGAAAGTTGAGTTTGGGGGGGCTATTTATGGATAGGAGCTTTTCCTCCAAATATTTACACCTGTAAAACTCCGGAAAAAGTAACATTTAAGGGAGAACAGGAAAGGCAGTAACAAAATATTTCACATGCCTCTGAATAAAGACTAATACCTAGGTATGAAATTCAGTCTCAAGTTTAACAACTGAATCTACGTAGATGACATTTCTATTCTGTGCTTTGATCACTTAGACTTAATGATAGATCTAAATGCCATTTAATTACCCCATATCCTAAGAAAGATACTACCATATGTCATCAATTTAATAATCAAGAAATGTTTGTTAAAGGCAAGAAAGACTACTGTTTATAAATCACCACTAATTAAATCATACCTTTAAATGTAATGGCTTGAGGGGAAAGTAATTTTGTGGTTTCTATTCTCTACAACTCATAGCCTACAGAATCATCCAGAGAAACAAACAGCAAAATGCAGAACTATGATTTGTATCCTGCTTTGGAAAAAGAGTAATGAAGAAATTTAACCCGAATGACAAAAGGTAGGCATGGGGGAAGAAGAAACCATTAGAAAGGATGATAAATAAAAATTCAAAGTAAGATGGAAAGATTAAGCCCTCACACCACAAGAATCACAGGAAGTGTAAATGGGTGATGCCTAACCAGTGAGACAACAGAAATAAATATCGTACATTGTGACAACACATACTGATGAATTGAGCTCCTTAATGACAGTATTCTGAGCATTTTTGCTATACCCGATTTCTTACTACCTGATGGTTTCTAAATCAAAACATTTACCATTTTCAATTCTTTAAGTATGGTAAGTATGATGTACTGTGAGCAAACATATATGGAATAATGGTTGTGAACGATGCTAGATGTTGTTCTTGGGGGAGACAGGGAAAAGAAGAAGAGAATCCCAAAGCCATTATCCTACACTGAAGTTGTTGACTGGAATACAATCAACATTGTTGAAAATCCTTACTGAGACAGAGCCCAGATGATGTTTCTTATATCACGATGTTCCTATACCCATTGACAGCTGATAGCTGAAGAGTATTTCACATTCATGAGCTCTCAGTGAATAAGAACATGTTTTCAAAGGAATGAAAGAAAACATTTCCTCCATTAGTGTTTATCTGTAATTCTCTTAAGCTGTGTACAAGTTGTATCTGCCATCAGAGAAAGCTCATGCAGTGGTAGTAGCAATACCTGTAATAGGAGTTCTGTTTTTCAGCCTATCCACCTCCATTGTGAAGTCATCCTTCAGAAAAAGGAACCCAATAATGGAAAACAGGTAGACAAGGATGAGAGCCAGAACTGCAGTTAGAATAATGGAGCGGCCATTCCGTGTGACACTCTTTATGACATTAAGCAGAGTCTCTTCTCTGTACACCAAATCAAAAAGCTACAAAAATAAAACAAGGAAAAACATGCAGTGACGCAAAAGCTGAATAAACATAAAAGGTAATTACAAATACAGATGCAAGCCATTTTAGTTTACCTGTGAAAAAAATAACAACCTAACTGATACCTTAAAAATACGCCAAAATACATGTGTCTTCTACAGTTGGAACGTATTAATAAACTGTTTTTCAATAAAGATAACTCTAACACAGCATATAATGTGCATCTGTTGGTTTCATAACCAACATAATTTCAATTTTGTAAGATACAGAAATAGCACAGCTTCAAATTTGAATTTAAAAAAATTATAATACTATACTTAACCAACTTAGCTACTTATTCCTTATTTTTATCTTCACTGATATTCTGCAGTTGCTTCTGAAATACGTAAGATGGCTAAAGTGAAAATGCAGAATTATGTTTACCTAAGTGATGGCTAATTGACAGAATCATTAGGCGTTATTGCTTAATCAAGGAATTAGGGGTGAAATTACTAGAACAATTTTATGAGCCTGCTGCAATAGAAAAGATGGAAAATTAAAAAATATTTGAGAAATAGAAGCACCTCTCTTTACTAAAGGAGTATAATGAGGGCAAAACCTATTACTTTAGTATGTAATTTTGGAAACAGAAGTATAAGCAAAAATATAAAACACAATTTTTAAAAAAATTTTCACTTCCTCTAATGGGTTATTACCCATTTTGTGTTTAGTAGCAGAAAGTCTCTGCACTAGTCTAGAACCTAGGTATGTGTTTGCTCTCTGGAGTCAACACCAAGAACAATTTTATTTATTGCTATATTATTAAGTTGAAATTATACATTAGGAAGTACATGTTATATTATCAAAGGCTAGTTAAAAGCAGTAAGTGAATATTCACTTAAAAAGGCACAAATATCTGTTTGGAAATGAACAGTATTTTAAAAGTTGGAATAATTAAGGTTTGTCTCCTACTATCTGTGGGAAGTGATTAAAATTTCTGCACTGGTTGAAACGAGGCATTACTAGTGTCACGAGCTCCTGCAGAAACACCAGGGCTTGTCCTGTTTTTCTGAGGACTGAGTTACTTTCCAATTTAATTTCAGTCTTGCCCATAATTGCCATAAAGATATTACCTTGTTTGCTCACCCTAGGAAACTGCTATTTTATCATGATCATATGCAAAAGAATATGTTTAACTATTTTGCTAAGTGCTTATCTTCTGGAGGGAGCAACAACTTCTAGAAACAAAGTCAATATTTCTCAGGAAAGACAAATTAATTAATGCAAATCCAACTTCCAAATTATGACACTGACTTATTCAGCTTACTTAACAACTTTGGTTGACATAAAGGGGATTTTCCTTTACTTTAACTCAACAGTGACTTAAAGAAAAGGTCTGGAAATGGGCTCTAGGTCACTTCTGAATGGTTTCTAAAAGTTTATAGCATTCAGGAGCCCCATGGGATGCTTGCTAAAAATGCTTATTTCTGGACCCCATTCCATAGCCCTGGAATCAGAATCTTGAGGAGGCAAAAAAGATGTAAGACACTGGACAGGTTAATGGTTCTACTTATTTCTGAAAGGAAAATCTAGAGTGTGGTTTTTATTATTTTGGATAAAGGATTGGTATTTGTGGATATAACTAGAAATACATATTCATGTATTTTTTTAAATATAAAACATATTTTTAAAATATGCTTAAATGCCATGTTGGCATTATGTCCATTATAATTTCCTCCTAATACTCTATAAACGTCAAAATGGACAATATCCTTTTCACCAACAACCCAGTGAAAACAGATTAGCATCACTATTGTAAGATTAGAACAATAAAAGACAAGAGGAAAATACAACTAGAAAATTAGGTTAAGTAACATAAATTAAAAGTAACATTATTATCAATAGCTCATGTAATGGTTCAAATACACCTTTATTTTGTCAATTGCCTTTCCTTGGAAAACAGAAAGATTTAATACATCATTTCACATGTTTTTCATATTATCTCTCTAATGAATCTTGATAGTATGAGTCTATCATACTATCTCTATGCATTTTATAGACGTTACAGAATATTACATGTCACAAGTCAGGTCAAAGTGCTGGGTGTAATGGGACTTCATATATCACGGGCATGTTTTTAAAAATGGATTTTTTTGTGGTAAATTAGAGCAGAAAGGGAATTCATCTGGATTCCTGGAACAGTAAAAACTCTATTTTTGATTGTTGGATCATCTAACTTAACTACCTAGAAGATAATTTTGTATCAAAGTATAAGGGACAAATCTACGCTTCCTGGGGGCCCTTTCAAATGCTTGACAAGTAAATGGAAAATCTGCCTCTTTTCAGTCTTCCTACCTGGGTTTGCTAGATAGGTAACAGGAAAGCGGCAGGTGACGGATTTGTCCCTTGTGAGAGAAGCAGACAGGGTCAGCATAATGTTTTTAGATCTTCAAGTGAGGTTTCAGGAATTATTTTATTGGGTGGTGGTCTCCACTGCATGTCAACCATGGGTTGGAGATATAAATAAATTGCTCCCATGGCATCATGATGCTAACCTGGTAGTGCTTTGGGTTTCAAACATTATCATGAATTTATATTGCCTCCCTTCCTCCTAGTTGATGGCTATAGAACAGTCTATATGTAGGAAGTAAAACTGATAACCTGAAGAAAAAATCTAGAAGAAATGTGAAAGCCCGCTTAATGAATTAGACACATGTAGATAAGCTTAACAACAATGACACATTAAATCTGAAACTAAGATTTCAAACAACTCAGTATTTTTGCGAGGTTGGCAGTTTACTCATTTTATTTATATGCCATTCTAGAGTTACAGTAATATTTGTTGTTGTGAATAAAGTACAACGATTCCAGGGCTAAGAAAACATATCCCCACTTTTTTTTCTCCTACACTCTGTTGGAGAACCTCTAAATGTAAGGGGAAGGAAGGATTTGGCTGAAACCAAAAAGCAGCTGCTATATGAAGCCTGGGTCAAGAGGTCGGGTCGTTGGTGACTTCTCAGGGAGGAAATAAAGAGTTCCACCACCTATGTGGGTTCTCAGAGGAAGAGAGGAAAAATACTACTAATTCCTGATTTTCCTAGGAAATTCTAAAAATAACATAATTTGTCCTAAATGTCAGGCCCTGCTTAAAAAAAAAAAAAAATCAAAGGAAGAAGCATAAGAAGCAGCACCATTGTGTTATTTTTTCCAGCAGTGATTGTCCACATGGAGAAGTACTCACCAGGAAGCTATAGAAGAATTCATGGACAAAGAGGCCCAGCATGCAAACCAGGACGTAGGCCACGTGGTAGAGAAAGGCCATATCCAGGATGACTGCTCGGTAGCCTCGGGTGAAAGTGCCACGATTGCCCACAAAACTCACCAGAAACACTATTTTATTACAAAGCTGCAGGGAGGAAAATATTAGACTTTACTGTCTTATTTATCCCCAAAACTCGCGTAAATAGCAGTCATTGACAAAACCTAGCATTCACAAAGTCTGTGGTTTTCTTTTATCATTTTTCATCTCGTAATTTTTTGACATTGCTTACAAATCTGTGTGTAAACATAAAACACCCCAAAGTTGTATCATTTGCAGTTCCAGGAGAAAAGAGGAGGATGATTAAGGGCACCAGCTTAGTAATCGAGACAGACCTGAATTTAAACCCTGGCTCTCTCACTACTGTTGTACAAGGTCATGCAGCAGCTGGCCTTGATTGTTTCTTTGGAAAAATTGGAGCAAAGAGATTTCGACCTTATAGAACTCTTCGGAGGATTAAACAATTCATAATGCGTATGAAACACTTAGTACAATGACTCTTTAGATACTACCCATCATATTTTCCATATTAGAAGTAATAGATATAATATTTTTATTATACTGGAAATGTAACAGAAAAATATCTTTTCAGAAAATATCTATCCTTCATTTTTTCATCCTAAACTTTCTCTCCTGAATATTACTGTAAACAAGTAAGCCATTAAAAGTGATTTTTTTTGCATTTAAATACATAAAAATATAAATATACTTACGTAATTAGGTTAAAACAAATATAATGCAGGCATATATTTTCTTTCCTTTTTTTAAGATTTATTTATTTGAAAGAGAGAGAGAGAGCATGAGTGGGAGGGGCAGAGGGAGAGGGAGAGAGAATCTGAAGTAGACTCCTAGCTGAGCATGGAGCCCGATGAGGGGTTCGATCTCATGACCCTGATATGATGACCTGAGCCGAAACCAAGAGTCAGATGTTTAACTGACTGTGCCACCCAGGCGTCCTGCATGCATATATTTTCTAAGCTGCACAGGTGGTAATTATTCAATAAACATTTTGGAGTGTTTATTATGCTTGGTGCTATGTATTTATATTAAAACTATTTAAAATTGCCCTTTGTGGCATGATTTTGCAATATTGAAATGTACACAGAGATTCTTTGGCAATAACAATGATCTATGCAATGATTTCCAAAGAACACAGTTATCATAAACTTAGTGCCAGATATTTGGTTCTAGAGTCACTGCATTATTTATAAACTGAAGAAGCCATTTTGCATCTTAGTCATCATGGAAACAATTACAGATTTCAAATTTCAGTTCTTCTAAATTGTTCCCTGAGTTCTTCAAGTTATCTAGTGGCACTGTATTTGTCTTTACATGTCCAAAGCTAACTTTGGGAAAACACGCTGTCCTTTGCAACAGCGTTGATTTTTCATATATATGAAAAGAGATTGCCTTGTGGAATGATTTTAAATAATGGGCAGAAGTGAAATTTGAGAGGTTGGAAAAACCTTTTCTTTCAACTTTCTGAAGTTCAAATCAATAAATAAATGAAAAATGGGTTAACATTGCATGTTGTGAAGATAGCCAAACCAAATCAACAACATAGAAGTTCAAACTTCCTAAGTTTTCCCCATGCTAATTAATAATCCTCTCAGTAATCGGTGTTTTCCATTCTTTCATCATCTTGTGAATAATTTGAATAATGTCGGCAGAAAGTTACACTTCACTATTTAGTTTCATCATCGTATATTTACATTACTATTAAACATAGCTACAGTATAATGATGTCCTTATGGTTATTATCCAAGAGTAAGTTTAATATTATAAAAAGTCATTTAAAAAGCTCAGGAAATATATACAAGGTGCTCTCAGATACATATGGTATTTGACAATAAACAACCATGAAAATGGTGAAATACAGAATGTCTAGATGAAGTAATATTCAGTGTTTTACTCTTTAAATCATCTTGACTATTTAAATTCAAATTTTTTGCTTTCCTCACCCACTATATTCATCAATATGAAATAGAAATAAGTTCTATAAAAAATAAAGTTAAAAATTGGAATTATGACTTTTCAGAAGGATGGATGATATGCTCATGACAAATTATTTATATGTTGTTTCTTGATCTCTATTTCCCTAAACTGAACCATTAAAAAATTATGCAGGAAAACTATTTATAAGTCCTACACATTCAGGAAAAGTAATACATTGGGTTCAAGTTCTCAAAAAAAGCAATGCATTTCAATTCTCAAATAATGCAAAATGAAGGACACATTTCTGCCTAAAAGGGCCTCTGCCAGTTTTGCATGAGAAATAAAGGTTTGCCTTCTCTATGTACAGGTTGATTTTTATTTTCTTTGAAATTTGATCTAGAGCTTGGTGTTGATGGATATGTCCCTGTTCTCTTGACTAAGTCTCAAACTAGAATGGAGTTGATATTGGCAGTGAAATCCATTTATTCCTGTAGAGATCAGAAACAAGGAAATTGTCCTTTTGTTTTGAAGTGTTCATACCAAGAAGAAATAAATGCAAGAATAAATGATCTGAAGAGGAAAGAAGTTGAACTCTGTTTTTTCCTGCACCGTGACCTTGAAATGTATAAATTGTTTTTATAGAGCATTTCCATGAAAGCTGGGGATATTTATGGGAATGAAGACATTACAAAAACTTATTCTCCCTTTTCATGTCATGACTTACTTGAAGTTGTCTAACCAGTCCTTCATTTGTCAATGTCATTATGTAGGCAATCTTGTTTCTATGGCAAGGGTCCATGTGGGCAATGATAAATGGAGGGCGTGGGAACTGGGCAAGGTGGCTAAAAGACCAGCCCTTTCTAATTTGGTGTTGAAAAGACTCTTGAATCAGCATACAAATACCAATATAAATGACCATAACTGTCCCACAATATTTATATCTTTCTCCATCTATTCTTCAAAATTGCATTTCATATATGTTTTGTTGAGGATGGGGTGAATTGTGTGATGGTGGGGGAAAAAGTGGGGAATGGGGTAGGGAAACAGTATCAATGTAAGCTTTTTGTGCAGTTATTAATTAATTAATTAATTAATTTAATATTTCAAGTTTTTATTTAAATTTTAGTTAGTTAACATATAGTGCAATATTAGTTTCAGGAATGGAATTTAGTGATTCATTACTTACATATAATACCCGGTACTCATCACAAGTGCCCTCTTTCACGCCCATCACCCATTTAGCCCATCCCCCTGTCCACCTCCCCTCCAACAGTCTTTTTTACAAAGATGATTTACCAGTAGGTCTTCTAAAAACAAAAGCAAAATTAATGTTCATTTGTTAATTAATGTAGAGTGAACAAAATTAATTAATTTTAATTGGGGAACTTAATTGTCCTGTACTGTTTTCATAAATACTTCATAATTCATTGATATGTCTTTGTAGGACTTTTAACAGTGCAGTATACTGGAAGGACACTGGCCTAGAAGTTGGGCCATCTGGGTTCCAGTCTTGGCTCTGCCACCCACCAGATGCTTTGGTAAATCCTCCTTGTCTCTATAGGATTTTGTATACTCATTTCTAAAATGAAATGCCTAGAAATGAATAATCCTTAAGGTGACTCAAAGTTCTAGAATTCTATAGGGTGTCCTTTAAATTTTGCTATTTTATGGGATCACAGAAATTTATAGCTGCCTTTATATTATCCTTTTTTGTCTTATTGGTTCTATGTTCCTAATCAGGAATTCTATCCCTAACTTACATTGTGCCTATGGGAAAAAATGACCTATTTTCCAGGAATAAACTGTAGCCAAATAAATAAATAAATAAATAAATAAATAAATAAATAAACAAACACATACATACATACATACATACTGTCTAGTATTTCTTGAAAAGGAAAACTGAATTTATTGAACTACATGTTAACCATATTACTGTATTACCATCAACATCAACCTTACTAAAATCTATGTGATTTGATTCAAAAATCTCCATTTCAGTAGTGTTACACCTTAGGCAGGATAAGTTTCTATGGTCAAAGCATAAGGCAAAATTTTCAGGCCAACATCACCCTGGAAATCTTTTAAATTGCCAACAAAGCAGTATAATAAACAAGGGTGCTATAAGCTATACTGTTTTTTAAATAAATTCAACATTTCTAGTTTTCCCCCAGCACTGAAGCAGTTTCCTGCTACTACAACTGAATATCAGAATGAATTAGGAGAATGCAGTGACCGTATTATATGAAAAATAGGGTGTGTGTGTGTGTGTGTGTGTGTGAGAGAGAGAGAGAGAGGGGTAGAGAGAGAGAGAGAATGAATGTTTTGTCTCAGAATATATAATTGAATTTGTGTATGTTAAGTGAACATATGGTGGGGCTCAACCTTATAGATTAGCAGTAACATGAGCCCTCCCAGGAAACTATCTGCAGGTAAGTAATAAGGGCATGATACTATTAAATGTGAACACTGTGGCTTATTGCTAATAGACAGCTATCTGCTAAACTCCACTTGCTTCTCCTCTCTGCAAAATGGCGAGACCAAGTTTCAGCATAAGGGAACATTTCCATATTACAAATAACTGTAAGAAAGGCAAATAATTTATAAATGCCATTAAATAAATTACACATTTCCAGGCACTACTACAAAAGAAAAAAAACATTGTACATAAGAAGTGTTTAGAAGATATTAAAAGATCTTCCACAGGTATTTACTGCATTATTTATTATGAAAAATATCTAAAAATCTAAACAATAAAAATTAATGGAATGGTTAAACAGATTATATAACGTCCACATGACTGGGAATATTATCATTATTAGTGGTATAGAAATATTAGGTGATCTAAAATTTATAATATGTGTGTTTATATTTGCCAAAATAATATCTTAATTTCCATTGCAATGTAGACTGTGAGAAGAAAACTGTACTGGGTTATAAGATATGCTTTATAACAGAGAAAAACATCTGAAATTTTTGAAACATCTCAAACATTGAGATAACCCTTGTGACAAGATGGAGAAATTATTTGCAATCGAATCAAAACTTCGATTGTTAGAAATGAGTAAAGATGATAAAAATGAAGCATCCTAATAAACAGAAACTGATAATACTAAATGCTCAGAACACAGATTGAGGTTTTTCCTCCCACTTGATTCCTTTTCCAGAAAAGCAACTTTCTACATTTGCCTGACATTATGAAAGACACTGAGTCCAGAAACAAACAACCCTCTGTGAACCAAAATACAAATACTGTTACGATTGTGATACCGATGTTTCACAATTAAATGGTACTTCACATGTTAGGAGCTTGATAAAGAGTAGCCTTTGTTGCTATTATATCATCACTGTTATTGCTCTGCTCTAAAGCTTCACACTAATCTTCTCCACCAATCTTCTTAACAACTGGTGAGTGCAGACTAGGCTTCAACATCTTCATTTCACTGATGAGAAAAATGAAACTCAGAGGCTCAATTTGCCTATGGTCTAGAATTCTGATTCTCATTAAGGCTTGACTGTCAGGTAGATATTTTCTTTTGTTTTTCCTGCTTCTGATACCTATAATTTTAGTACCTATAGTTTTACCTGTCAAACAATGCAAACTTTTAAGTACAAATTAATAAATATATTAAATTCTAACTTACGAAAAGTGACTGATTTATGTTTTCATTTAATTTTTTTCCTGCCCCCTGGGAAATAGTAAGCCACATAATAAGTTTATTATGACAAAAGTTAAGATAGATAATTA